TGTATTCTCTAACTGCCCTGTTTGTATAACTACCCCTAGCGTCTCACTTAAATTTATAGGTCATCATCTTCGTATATGATCAGAAAAGCTGTGTTGATAATCCGATCATGTTTTCTTACATAGGTCCAAATAGAGCAAACGTGTGATATGAAGCTGGACCTGTCTGATGACAGTTAGTCTGTCAGCTGGTTCTGTTGTGTGGCATGAAGCCGAACCTGCCTGATGACAGTTTGTCTGTCAGCTTGTTCTGTTGTGTGGTATGAAGCCGAACCTGCCTGATGACAGTTTGTCTGTCAGCTGGTTCTGTTGTGTGGTATGAAGCCGGACCTGTCTGATGACAGTTAGTCTGTCAGCTGGTTCTGTTGTGTGGTATGAAGCCGAACCTGTCTGATGACAGTTTGTCTGTCAGCTGGTTCTGTTGTGTGGTATGAAGCCGAACCTGTCTGAGGTCAGTTAGTCTGTCAGCTGGTTCAGTTGTGTGATATGAAGCCAGACGTGTTTGATACAAATTAGTCAGTCAGCTGGTTCTGTTGTGTGACATGTAGCCGGACGTGTTTGATACAAGTTAGTCTGTCAGCTGGTTCTGTTGTGTGATATGAAGCCGGACGTGTTTGATACCAAATAGCCTGTGAGCTGGTTCTGTTGTGTGGTATGAAGCCGGACGAGTTTAATACTAAATAGTCTGTTTGGTGGTTCTGTTGTGTGATATGAAGCCTGACGTGTTTGATACCAAATAGTCTGTCTGGTGGTTCTGTTTTGGTATATGAAGCCGGACGTGTTTGATACCAAATAGTCTGTCTAGTTATCTGAAGTGTGGTAAGAAGCCGGACGTGTTTGATACCGGTTAGTCTGTCCGGATGTCCGATGTGTTATATGAAGCCGGACATTATTTGGTTGCCATGTAACTGTTTCTTTTGTTCAAACTTTGCCCTAGTTTTATTGGATTATGATTCTGTACAACTGTTTTTATTTTCTTGTTTTAGCGTAGTCGTCAAAGAAACTTCACTTGCTGACATGCAGATAGGGCATCAGTATAGTACGCGGTGTCCTTATCACATATTCGTAAACAGCAACTAAACATGGAATCTAAATATTTTCTCTCTTTTCTTAAGATCTTTCTTCTTCCTAATGTAGTCCTTGATACTGTCTCACTTCGCTGAGTGCTCTATCATGGGAGGCTTTCGGTGCTGTCCCCTGATCGAAATATACCAGTCTTTAGAATGGCAGTTACTACTTCCTGATAAACGCTAAGCATTGTAGTAGTGTAGTGACTAGTCCAGTCGTCATTATAATGTGACCATGTGGAATGTCTTGCTGGAGGAGGTCCTCAATAGTGTGTGATAACAGTCATATTTGCACTATCATAAAGAGGACAATCAGCCTCACAAATGCACACATTTATCACATGACTTCACCTCACTTACACCAAAAGGCCGTCCATCAATGACCGTGTACGTGAAGCAATGTAAACCAAACCTAATAACAATATACGTTTGTGCCAGGATCTATCAACGAAGTTTTAATTTAAGGTAATTTATGTAAAATGCAACGAAAAAGTTCTATTCTAGCAACAATGTCTTACACCTAATATTCTACCATATAAATAGGTACCTAAAAATTTGGCTTCAAATTCAGATACAGGTTAAAAAATAATTGAAAAAAGTAAAATTTAATAAATGAACATTTTTTATCACCGGTAGCGCAAGAATAAAGCCAAATTCACAAGACTCGCTCACAAGACTAATTCAATCCATTTACCCATAAAGACGACAAAAGCGTACTACAGTCTTTAAACGAAGATCTGTGTCGTCAGAAAAACAAGAATATTTAAATAGAATTACTCTGTACTGACCAGTGGTGACCATTGTCCACGGGGTATGTTACAGTTGCCATTTAGCAGACACACTCTGTGTACTATAGGATCAATGTAAATGGTAGGAGTGACGAATTAAAGTAAACATCAATTATTCAAATAAACATTTCGATTAGAGTTAATCTAATGTTTAAATATACATATATATGTACAGTGTATCTGTTTGCTAGGGTCGGTAACATTTGACCTTTATCTCGCAATGACACAGTGAACGCTGTCGTTCTTTTGAACTCTATTTCTGAATCACGATTCACCATTACAATGTGTGTCATTTGAGCATAAAGAATGCAGTGCATTCATGAGTTTTGACACCCTTTTTGATGACATTTTATTTCTCTGTGATAAAGGAAACAAAAAATATTCAACAAGGCCTACTTTATTTCCCAAATGATTAAAAAGCTTGGTCAGTTGTTTATATCTGCAAAAAACTTTGATGCGGTTGTACCCTTGTCCAATGTTTTCATGTCCAACCTGTAGCTTAAGAGATTGGAAAATAAAACAACTCTGAAAATACCGGCACATCTTGTACAATGATACAGTAGTTTGGTAGAACATCTTCTGGGTATGCACTTTTCAGTGGAAAAGGAAGTACATCATTTGTGATCCAAGTTCTGTAGTTATAAATCATGTCATTGAAAATTGTCGCTTATTAATGTTATGGTAGTTAGATATAACACATTATTTGACGCTGCTCTTTTTTCTCTAGATGATAGAGACATTCTACAAAAGAGATATTACAACAAACCTTCAAATTCATGCAATATTCACTATTATTACTTACTTAATGTTGTTTTTAGGCATTCTAAAATTACATAATACATAAATTCAAATACCGGTAGACATCGGCATATTATCATTTGTCAAATACATTAATAAGAAGACATGTTATTAGCAATAAGTTATGTATGTACCTTACAAAAGTTATATTTCATATAAATTATTCCATTTTACATTTTGCATGGTGTTTGTCGGAGGAGGACATGAGGTTTTAAAGTGGAAAATACTTTGTGACATCAAACATCTATCTTTGCAACCAATGTCACAAATTCAAGAATTTATATCAAATTAATAAAAAAAAAGCTCAGAATCAATTAGTAAGGGATGTCGTTATTGTGGTCTAGATTTTGCGGAGTAACATTTTAAATTGGAAATCAAAGACGCGATAGATTCTTCTACATCAGCCACTCATCTCGGTCTCTTCCTACAACAAAACCAACATGGACAGCTTTCCACCAAGCTGTGTGATTCAGGTGATGATTCCCTATTGTGAATTTTCCATTTATGGATAGCAACAACGATTTTCGCGCAAGAAGTCGTCAACTGACAAACAAACTCGTGACACAGAGATTAAAAAGATTCAGGTTGATAAAACTTATGGGGAAGTTTTATGGTCGTTTTAGTGATGTTAATGAGAGATACTCTTATTTCTTTGCACGTGTTCGATGCTCCCTAGTTTACCGGTTGGTTCCGTTGTAACATATCTTATTCTCATTTGAGAACGTGGTATTACTTACAATGAACTTGGATTGACAAAAGTTTACATGGCGGTTGTCGTCGATGCAGTAGAAGGCCCTAGTTTTATTTAATTTGAGTGTGGATTCAGGTTATATTGACATGTTGATATTTTTTTTATATCTGCTGTTAACAGCAGATATATAAGCATTGTAATTACTGTTTTAATCTACAAGGAATTGCACAATATTGAAAATTGTATGTATAGAATATATCTTAATGTAAAAATACAGAGTATATTTTCAAACAGGCTATCTGTTAATAGGTAGCTAGATGTAATGTCTTATATTCCCCCTACATAAGATACTCCTTGAGTTAGCTCTTATCTATTTACATGCATTTATTTGTTTCTGATTTAGTTGACGTAAAATCAATGAATCAATGAAAAAAGAAAGTGAAACACTCGAAGAAGCAACCAATCAAAAAAAAAAAAAAAATTAAATAAACAAATGGAAAATGTATAAACACTGCATTTTAACTTTTCTTAAATCAATAATACGTTATTGTATAATTCTCTCTACTGTCCCCATACATGTTTTCGTACTGTATGTGTCTATCACTAGTACATGTAAATACATGTACACGTAAGTATGCAGAGCTATAAAACACTGGCTTTTTAAAATCGTAGTATCTTTATGATTAGTGCTGCGTAAACGACTCTATAATAAATAGGTTATTAAACATATACATGAAACATAAAGTATTCAGTAGATTCCTCTAAAATGCGTTTTTGTTGACAATAAAATTACGAAATACACATAGAATAGCCTGATAGAACCTTTCTTAAACTTGTTTTATTAGATTCAAAATCTTCTAAAGGGAAAAGAAGCAATGTAAGCTGTTTTAGTCATTTCCGGATCTTACCTGTGTATAAACTGTACGGGAACTACATGTAAAAGGCCACCTGTTGTACTGTATATACATACCTTTAACGTGTGCTTGTTCTATTTTCATAGGCAGAGTGGCCCTTTAACAAACACTATAAAAACGAAACGTGATACCTTTGCGTCGTGGAGGTGCCTTATAGCACTGGATGAATCTGATTGGTCGATTAACTGTCATTTAGTTTGAGCGAAAAAAAATAAACACACATATACACATTGCTTTACGCTTGTATCGTGTGTTCAGTATAGCCATGTGCTTTCTGGAGTTTAATACATATCTTTAAGTTTCTATGTCATATATCTTGTGTGTAATATTTTTATCTATGTGACTTTAGGTCCATAAAGTGTCTAGTGCTGGTTATAAACAAACTCAAGTTTACATTCTGCTGCACTGGAGGTAAAATGAGCTTATACAATACCTATTGTCGTTAATCCTTGGACATCGGTCAGATTTGGGCTTGACCATGTATGAACAGGAATGCAAGGATAGCCAAACAGGTGCATTCACCCGACTCGGGTAACGATATCGTAAATATATGGCGTAATTCAATCTTCATAGCGAGATGTGCTCATGAAGGATGGTTTATCGTCGCTTTTAAAATTCAACGGTTTTTTTGACAAATTTCAGTGAAAAAATGTGTGAATTTTAAAAACATGTGAAGTTTTGTAGCGTGTTTTGGATAGTTAAACATTCATCTTCCAACTGTGATATTTAAGAAAAAAAACCCACCATGATCGGATACTTCTTATCCTCCGTGGATTTTACCTCATCGGCGTCTACTCAGGCGGTCATGGTTCGAATCCTCACTATCCTTATGGTAACGTACAGCTTTATTTCATAAATATTACGAATTTGAATTTTGTATCATAAACTACAACAATTAGATTTTTCTTTTTTGTATGTTCTATAATTTGATTGTTTAAGCCAGTATGTGTTGTAAACATACTTCTGCACAATTATTGAAAACACCGTAAAATAAATTATTTCGTCGCCTGGTTACATTAAAAGTTTTAGAAATACATTTTCTTAGTATCAGTCTGTTTATCTAGTGATACTATATCATCCTGTTTTGAGAATTATGCTCTGCATGCGCATACCATTAGATAGACCCGTATATATTAAACAGCCTATAGATTTCATAGATAAATGGAAGTCCTGTTAAAAATTCTTGAATATGTGGCATGTTGGTTAAGATGTGGAGACAAAATTTCCCAGCAGAGGAGTGCCGAGAGGGTCTTCAGTCTTTTACCACATCTGAACCGGGGGTCTATTGACACTCCTTGGCCAACTACAATCTGAACCAGGGGGGTCCCTATCAGTATGCATTTAGCCCAGGGGTCTTTTGGTACTTCATTTGTTTACCATCTGGCACCAAGACATGCTTAATTGCAACAACTGTTACCCTCCATAGGAAGTGAGCTTTGATCCATTTTCCTTCTCAAGTTAGTTTGACCCGAGTTATCCTGCCCTTTTACAATGTTTTCTAATTTACCCTGTTCCTATCTAGCACTCGATACTCGAGTACCGTTTGAACCCGAGACATACTATTTAACTAACGTACTTTCAGCTAGTACTGGCTATTTGTGCATCCTATGCTGGTAATTTACTCGGAAATGGTATACCACTCTAATCTTTTGCCCACTAATCGAGTAGTCTTTGAACCTGTAGTCATACTCTAGCTGTCGCCATTCGAGTAGCTTCTGACATCAAAACGGCATGTTTTACTCAAAACGAGCATAATTCTTCTTCTATCGTCCGCTACTCGAACACCCACTGCCTGAGTACTTTTGACCCTTGTTTAGCTCAGTAAAGACTCTTCTATTATCGTACTCAGTATCCTCGTACGTCGATAAGGAAGAGAACATTAACCTATATGTTCATTGTAGAATTCTGACGGCCATACCTGGTAAACCAGTAGAGGTTGGTACCCGTTATAATGTGCCGTTAAGGTATGAACGCGAGCATATCCCTGTATCTGACCTATATATCACTTCAGTATATAAAAGTATGATAATTATTTAAGATCTTTTCATGTCAATTAACATCATTTCAAATATAACACAGTTTTACTTGCAATTTAATGATACGATACGATAAAGTGAAAGTAGAAAGACAGACCGGGAGAGAGGGAGGTTTAGAAATATTGACAAAAAATACGTTATCGATACTTTGAACGTGAATTGTTTCATCTAAAGTTAATATCATTGTGTGTACTCGTCTGAACAACATGTGACAATTTGTGTTTACCGTCTGTCGTTTTTTTCATATACAAGAATTACGTCATAAATGCATTGATGGATTATACAATATTTTCATGAAATACATCGTATCACTCTAAAGCTTAGGCTGAAATGTATAACAAACAAACATGTCAGAGGTGTTTTAACCCAAGTAGATAAAATCGACCTGGACTGTCCTTAAGATTGGTTCTTCTTCACCTAGTGCGTGTTGTTTAACGAGATCTCAACTTGAAAGGGGGTGAAATACACGGGCGTCTGTCTATAGTGACGGTTTGTCTTAATACAGATGATACCTAATACAATATATGTATGTGTAGTTGTATTTTCCGAACGGCGAGAGTTTCTATATAAACAATGTCATTTCAATGTAGAACTACATTTTTGCAGACTGGACTTTGGTCTTTGGACTTAATGACAATTTGCAGCTATAGAAGGTAACTGTAAGAACAGGTGGTAACTGAAGAATTCTGGTGACGGTAGTTATAGATATAAAGTACTCTTATAAATATGTGATTGGTAGAGACTGACGGGAAATTTAGGCACAATTCTTTAACGATTATCGGTAAATTTCCTAAAGTTTCCTAAAGGGAACTGTTTCTCCTGAGCTGAAGAATATTCCTAAAAGCCTGTAAAAAAACCCAAATGACTCTTAATTTTTCCCTCAAGACGAATATATCAATATTTCGACTGATCAGGCCTAATAAACACGATTTCAACCCGATGTGTGTTGGTGTTATGGAGACATTTTCTCTAACACCCAAACGCTTGTTAGACCATTAAATTATAATTACTGGCAACAGGTAGCACAATGACAGTAATACGTTAAAATCTGAAAAAGAAATGAATTAGAAAACGACATGACCCTAACAATTTGCACTGAAACTTCAATCTCGACCTCTGACAACTTCCAAAACCTTTAAGTCCAAGAGAGTAACTAGGGTATATTTGCCTTGTTTCCGGACAAATTGTAGTTACGGACGTGTGGTGAATGCTGTGTAGTGATACATATAGCAACAGGTTGTGATAGACAGGTAGGAGATAGCTTGGTTTGATTTTATATTGTTTTACGTCTTGAGCTCATTTATTCTCATTTTCGGAAAGTCTTCAGGCTTATATCAAGTGACTTCTAGGATTGGGGAGGCGGCGATATGTTCGTGTAAGAGTCTTTGCGATAATTTGGAACCGATGCTAACTTTATAGTGCAACATACTGAAACATACCATAAGAACGCCCCGTTTAGTCACATTTTACTGGCAAACGTTAAGCACAGAGTAGTTAATACCATTTACAGGTACACGCCTGGTTCAGCTAGGGACAATTCCTTCTATACCAAGTCAATAGTTTAACTAAAGGCCAGGAGTCACACAGGGAAAACGTATGTTACAGAAATTAATTTTCAATTTCGAAATGTTTCGAAGATTTCAAATTTAGCCGCCTCTTACAAACATGCAATAGGACATCTGGTAAAATTCTTGCTCTCTACCCACGGGGATTGACGTTGTAAACGGATTACATTGAAAAACATGTGGTAGGTCAATTATAAGACGGGTGGTATGTGTACACGGGTGGTCGTTATAGACAAGAGTAAGTTATAGATGGTGATAGTTATAGAAGGTGATAGTTATAGACAAATCGTAGTTATAGAGGGTGATAGTTATAGACAAATTGTAGTTATAGTGGGCGATAGTTATAGAGGGTAATAGTTATAGAAGGTGATAGTTATAGACAAGTGGTAGATATAGAGGGTGATAGTTATAGACAAGTGGTAGATATAGAGGGTGATAGTTATAGAAGGTGATAGTTATAGACAAGTGGTAGATATATAGGGTGATATTTATAGACAAGTGGTAGATATAGAGGGTGATAGTTATAGACAAGTGGTAGATATAGAGGGTGATAGTTATAGAGGGTGATAGTTATATAGGGTGATAGTTATAGACAAATGGTAGATATAGAGGGTGACAGTTATAGAAGGTGATAGTTATAGACAAGTTGTAGATATGGAGGGTGATAGTTATAGAGGGTGATAGTTATAGACAAGTGGTAGATATAGAGGGTGGTAGATATAGAAGGTGATAGTTATAAAGGGTGATAGTTATAGACAAGTGGTAGATATAGGGGGTGATAGTTATAGACAGGTGGTAGTTATAGAGGGTGATAGTTATAGAGGGTGATAGTTATAGAAGGTGATAGTTATAGACAAGTGGTAGATATAGAGGGTGATAGTTATAGACAAGTGGTAGTTATAGAGGGTAATAGTTATAGACAGGTGGTAGATATAGAGGGTGATAGTTGTAGAGGGTGGTAGTTATAGACAAGTGGTAGATATAGAGGGTGATAGTTATAAACAAGTGGTAGTTATAGAGGGTGATAGTTATAATCAAGTGGTAGATATAGAGGGTGATAGTTACAGAGGGTGGTAGTTATAGACAAGTGGTAGTTATAGAGGGTGATAGTTATAATCAAGTGGTAGATATAGAGGGTGATAGTTACAGAGGGTGGTAGTTATAGACAAGTGGTAGTTATAGAGGGTGATAGTTATAGACAGGTAGTAGATATAGAGGGTGATAGTTATAGAGGGTGATAGTTATAGACAAGTGATAGTTATAGAGGGTAATAGTTATAGACAGGTGGTAGATATAGAGGGTGATAGTTGTAGAGGGTGATAGTTATAGAGGGTGATAGTTATAGACAGGTGGTAGTTATAGAGGGTAATAGTTATAGACAGGTGGTAGATATAGAGGGTGATAGTTGTAGAGGGTGATAGTTATAGAGGGTGATAGTTATAGACAAGTGGTAGATATAGAGGGTGATAGTTATAGACAAATGGTAGATATAGAGGGTGATAGTTATAGAGGGTGATTATTATAGACAGGTGGTAGATATAGAGGATGATAGTTATAGAGGGTGATAGTTATTGAGGATGATAGTTATAGAGGGTGATAGTTATAGACAAGTGGTAAATATAGAGGGTGATAGTTATAGAGGGTGATAGTTATAGACAAGTGGTAGATATAGAGGGTGATATTTATAGAGGGTGATAGTTATAGACATGTGGTAGATATAGAGGGTGATATTTATAGAGGGTGATAGTTATAGACAAGTGGTAGATATAGAGGGTGATATTTATAGACAAATGGTAGATATAGAGGGTAATAGTTATAGACAGGTGGTAGATATAGAGGGTAATAATTATAGGCAAGTGATCGTCCTTTTCATAAAAAGTTGAGGTTGACACAATGCAGTATCTCCTAGCTTTATTTTCAGTGTTTATGATGCTGTCTTTAGTCTGTACGTAAATCATTTGAAAGATGCATGTGCTATTAATTGCATTTAACTTGCCAGGTGGGTCATATAAAATATATACGGACAATAAATAGGATTACATTGACATGAAACAGATACTGATATCTAGTGCACTCTCAAATCTTTGATATCGCGCGTCACATAGACTATTTAATGATTCTGTTTTTCGTAAATATTGTCGTCTAAGTTTCTTTAGGTCCTGCGGTGTGTTATCACGGCTTCTAGAGGGACATTAACGTTCTATGATGTAAACAAATCCACAACGGATAGC